GTGTGTGTGTGTGTGTGTGTGTGTGTGTGTGTGTGTGTGTGTGTGTGTGTGTGTGGTTAATTAGAGCACTTGGTCTCAGGAGGATCAGACCTGGAAGGCGACTGTCTCTGCTACGTGACAGAAAGCCAGGGGCAGAGTGTGTCTGATAAGTTGGTGGCAGAGAGAAGAGACAGACATAAACAAACACAGATAAGTCGACAAGCATGCACACACCCACACATACACCCCTTGGTAAATACTAGTGGATGTACAGATGAACCAATTGTGCTGGTATTTAAATTACCCCCCCCCAAAAAAAAAAAAAAAATCATTCCCAAATTAACAATATCAGCTTGTGGGTGAGAAACACTGAAGGCAACGTTTGCTCTTAAGTAGATACGGAACCCAGTGCTCACCACCTGAATTTGCTACAGCTACAATTTTAGCATGTTTATTTTATAGTCTGTCACTACTTTCACGTCTATATCTGATTTAATTCACTCACAAAGACATTAAATTAGGACTAGGTTTATTTTAAATCCAAGACCAGGATAACATCAGGGATTGATGGCTATGATTTAAATGTGTGAATCTATTTCTTTGCTGTCCCAGGATAAAACGTCATAGAAAACAAACTGAGGAGAAATGCACAGTCAAGCCTTGCCCTTCCTCCTTCTCCTGCTGCTGCCGTCATTGGTCAGGACATTATTTGAGCCCTCATGTGGTTTAGTGAATTCAAGCCACTAAGGATCCCTCATTGGGCAGGCTGCCAAATTTGTGTTAAGATCTTGGACTTAAGAACATTCCTGCACTCTTGCTGCAGCACTATAAGGTAGTTTTGGCATTGAACATTGTAGTGTAATGTACCAGAATTTAATCAGACAAGACACTACTCTGTAACTGTAATAAAAACGTTACAAAAATACAGAGCAAACAGATAGAGGTCAATCCCTGACTAAAACAAAGCATGCACAGTATTTTGTGCTGCCTAACTGTTTCTATGCATAAATAGCATAATGCCTCTTAACCCCTTAGAGAGAAAAAGGTACAGAAAGAAGGGTTAAACACAACCTGAACACTTGGCCTACATGTTGCAATCCCTTTCAAAGTTCAGTTTGGGGTGCCGGGAAGAGCAAATAAGCCTAAAAGAGCCCAAAAAAAATCATAAGCCCAGCCCTCATAGATAACATTTCCAGAGGAATCAGATGGCACCTGTCACGTAGGCAAACTGACAGGTTTCCTGTAGTAAGATACCAGCACAATAGCAAACACAGAGAAAACAGCACAACAGCAAATAAAGACAAATTCTTGTGCCTGCATTTAAAAAGGCCCACCTTACTGCAAGACAATACGTTCTGAGCTGTGAGTGTTTCTTTTCAGCGTAAACCTGCACGACATGTTTTTGTCACAGCCGCACTCCTCATTCTATGCTGTCCTGTTAGCACACATACACATGCTATGTAGTCCAAAAAGTAGCAATCTGCTGAATATATAAGAGGGATGATTGTAATATCTCAAACTTGGACACTCTAAAGTGCAAATCATTTGGCTTTTGCTTTGCAAATCGGCTTTTAACAGCATATGCATATAACAAAGGAAAAGCAAAAGTGAAAGCACTCTCAAGGATCATATGTCATGAAAAAAAGACGCAAGTTTGATGTAAATATCCCTCATTTCCTAAACGCCTGGTCTCAAATCACGCAAAGCCCTTCTTGACAAACCAGCAGACGTCCTCCCATCTTTACAGAGTACAGCCTGTTATGACTTTAAATACATTTTTAAAAAAATGATGACGATAATAATGTCAGTAGTTTCTATCCATCTACCAGTCTCTAATGGATTTTCACCTACGACTATTCCCACTGGACTAAAACGATAATATCACTTGAAATAACATGTTGTTTCAGATAATTAGCCTTTTTATTATTGTTTGTTTGCAGCTTCAAACCTGCAAAAAAAAACACATTCTGGAGAGATAAGCATCCCCTCACAACACAGTAGAGCTAGCTGATAAACTATGTCAAATTAGATGGAAGGAAAGGAAAAGACACTTGTTTTTTAATTATTACAAATCTATTATTAACAGTCATTTAAACTGTGGCATCATTCTACTAAATTCTGGAATTATACCATCATGAAATAACATAAGTTATGAACTACCTACAATTGTATCTTTAAACTGAATAAACAACAAAAACAGGGAAATTTTAATACATTGAAGAACACTAGCTCTCTGGACCTCTGATAGCATCCTATAGAGGTATCCCAGCAAATTTTTATGGGTTAAACATTTTTTCTTCCAACATTTCCATTATGGTCTTTGTTTATGGGTTAATTATAGTGAAATAAGTATTTGAGAGACTTGGGTACATGGCTGTGAACTGCTTCACTGTAACTGATATGTTAGTTTCAAGCTTGAAAACTGAAACAACAGCAGAAAATTTTATTTCCTGATGGCAGTTAGCTTTAACCACCACAACCAGCTGCTACATGTACACACTTTAAAATGTATCTTGTGGGTTGACTTTGCTTTTAACAACTTGTTTTAATTTGGTAAAGTGCCACAAATTCTAAACAATTACTTAGCATGTATTAACAGAAGTGTTTTATGAGAATAGGACATAAAAGTTGTTTTATAAGAGTCTGAACATTAAACAAATATTAGAGCTGTGTTCTGTATTTCCAAAAATAAAATAATTTATGTGGGCCCGCTGCAGAATTTCAGCCAATTTCTGTTCAATGGGATTAGTAATAGGAAGTGGAACAGCTCTTTTAGAGCGTCTCTGGTTTTACTTTGAAACTACAAACCGGAAGTGTACGATTGCGTTTGTTTTGCTTGACACCTGAGTTGCTTGAGGAAGTCAAAGCGATATGAACCAGTGTGACAATATCATAAAATGTTCACTGTTAAACAATTATATGTCTGTCTTAATCTGATAAACCCATCTGTGATCAACGAGGGTTTAATTATGGGTGATTACATGAAACTTTAACAGGAGCAACAAGCGAGCACTGAACGCTTGTGGCTACAGCAGAGGTTCACATAAACCAGCAGTTGTCGCTTCTCTCGATCAGGAAGAGGGGATTTAAACAGCTAACCGTTAAAAGTTAAACGGCGAAGTCCTGGTTGGGATATTTGTGCCGTTGTAACACAGTTGCTTAAACATCTTAAACAAACAGCAGAGCCAATCGGCGTTCACTTCTTCTGCCGAACATTTGAACCCTAGTCGTGGATTTGGCAGGTTACCAACGGAAATTAGCATTTTTATCCACCGAGCTAGTTTCGCCCGAAACCCCGTTTCAGTAGTGATAGCTGTCAATCAGCCGATTTGGCCGATAAACACGGCGAAGTATACTCGCCGTCAGACCCGGTTCGTGAACACGGATGAATGACCTGCGCGTTTAAATACTGGACGAACATAACGTTATTTCCTGTAATCAACTAATTAACCCTGTGGTATATTTTCACTACCCAATAAAAATGTAGAACCGCCATGAAGGAAAACAAAAAAACATGAAACAACAACAACAAATGCACCTTTTAGTATAGAACTCGATTTAAATTAGTGGACACTTTGCACGAGCCCTTTACGTTAATACGTGTTTTTGGAGGTGGGACTAACGGGAGAAGTGGGGGTCAAGAGAATGACGGGAAACTTACCTGAGAGTTTGGGAGACCGTGGGTGCCTGACGTGCGGGATGTCGTCGGGGAGATGTAGGTCAGCGGGACGGAGCGGCAGCGGCGTCCTGGACCGGAGCCGCCATGTTCATCTGGCTCAGAGGCTCCTCGGCTCGGCTGTTTATCTTTACCAGTAGACCCCCCTCCTCCGTCTCCACCGCCACCACCCCCACCTCCACTCATCTCATTACCACACGGCAGAGCTGGGTGTCTCTGCAGTTCGCCCTTTCTCAGCCTCACTCGTGCACGCAAACTCCCGTCAGCTAGTTATTCAAAGGGAAAACTGAACTAAAAGCCCTGAATGCGATTTTTATTTCTATTTTATTTGTGAGATAGTTTGTGACTTTTTGTTTTGTCAGTTCTGACTGCGATAAAAGAAAAGTAAACCACCAAAATAAGACACCCATATAAAGTCCCTTTTTTCTTTTTCGTTTGTTATGGAAACATTCACATTTATAGAACAAATGGTGAACGACGTATGATACTTTTAAAAACGCAGTTTCAGCAATATGTTGTATTACGTGTGCATTACAGTTTAACGCAGATGTGCAAATAATTAATTAAGATGTATTTATAAAGCGCATTTAAACAGCTGCATAAGACAACAGAAAGTTAATATAACCTAAATTACAAATTAATATAAAAAATGGGGGTGGCCAAAATATAAAACAAGACAACCGGCCGTCACAGTCATAGTCAACAGATTAGGAATACCAGTAGAATACCAGTAAGCCCTTTAAAACGACAATATGTGGAGCATTTGTAGTAGACACAGGCTCAGAAAGCCGATTCCACCATCTTTGATGCAACTCAGAAAGTCCCGTTATCCTAAAGTTTGAGACCAGAACAGGGGACATGAAGTAAGAGTTCTTGGAATTAAACAGCTGTAGTATTTTAATCTATAATTAGAACTTTGTTGACAGTGACTCACCAGGTATTGCAGTGCGAAATTATGAATAACTTCACTGAAATTTTAAAACTTTGCAAACAATCCAGTGAGTAAGACCGGTTCTTTCTTGCAGGTTGATTCTGCCCCCTGTTTGACACCGCTGCTTCCAGATGTAGTATGTAAGGTGTAGTTAGTACTTAGTAACTTACAAAATATTTTCCTGTAGTCTCTTAAATACATGTTCTCCCTTTGCCAATATTTAGCGAATGCCACAAACATGCTCATACAGTTCTAAGATTTAGACGCTCTGACGGTGAAAGTGTATTTCACAAATTAAACCTACAATTATATTTCTGTCCACAATACACCGTATAGGTGTTAGGTGTCCATCAAATGTCCTGCATTAGTTATGCACTGTAGTTCTTTTAGTGTAAGGTGAGAGATTTTCAGTAAAGACACAACTGAATCCCAAATGAGCAAAATGTTGAAAAGGGAAACATGGAGGTCCATGTACATAATTCACTCACAGTTTAATTTTAACATTTTTTTCACAGTATTCCAACGCATATTTACATATAATATTTTTTTTAAAACAAGTTTCTAAAAAACTAGAACAATTATAATGCAAATTTTCTGAATGCTAATTATTGTAACTGACCATGGTACGATGAATTTTGCCATAAAATTAAGAGATACTGCCACCTAGCGACTGACTGAAAATGTGTGCAGCATTTCCAGTACAAAGTTTAGAGATTCATTAATATGACTGAAAAGACAGACGACTTAAAGCTCGCAAAGGGAGAAAACAGCAGGAAAAAATATAAATATATTTCTGTACACATCACTATTTAGATTTCTCATTGTGTCACGGTCAACAGTCTGAGAAAGCACCAAAATGTTTTATTTTCCCCAGTTCCCATTCCCATACACACACTCTATGCTTTATTTGGCAAATCTTTCTTAACCGAGTGCCTGCATAAAACAATTTCTATACCCAGAAACAGCTGAACAGTTAAGCAATGAATTTCCTTTTACCCACATAAAACCTTTCTTGAGATATTGCAATAACACACCTGTGATAGGGAAGTGCCAGCCTCATAAATAACAACTCAATGACAAATGTAATGAAATTATTTACTTTCTGGGCTTCATAATATACAAAACTCAGTAAAATAAAGTACAGTACATTCATTTTATACTGTATAAATCCTACTTATCCCACTTACATGACCAGAAAGTATTGTTAAATGGAAGACAATGCTGACAATTATTTTTAAATCAACACAAAAAGCTCACTTTAACACCCTCAACTCAAAAAAAGAAGACATAGGAGCAGTTAAGCAGTTTTAATTAGGGGGGGGCAGGGGAAGTGTAGCACTCTGATCACACTTCAGGATGAGGTTCAGTCTTCATGCGGCCACAGGCGGCTGACCTTGAAGCAAATTTTAGCCTTGTTTAACTATAACACAGGCCGCAGCTCAGTCCTGGTGAGTCCCTTTGTTTTCTGTGCCTTGTGTGTTTTGAGTTGTGAAATATCTGAAGCAACGGGTGTGACTAATACAACAGATTTTTCCTCTAGAACATTTCTCAATCAGCACTGGTGTACAGCACAAACATAGCACTGAAAACAATCATCTCGCATTCAAAAATCATCAGCTGTTGATCTTGGAAATCCCAGCCCAACGCTCCATTTCATCTCACTGTCAGTGGACGTCACAGATTACTCTTCCATTTGCTGCTCTGTGAAGATTCGTTCACTGCGGGAAAAGAAAGGTTTACATTTGTGTCACAGCCAAATTTTCTAAACGACAGCAGCACAGTTATAATTAACCTGCAGTCCTAAAGTATAGTAACTAAAACTACCAACTGGCAGTCGTATACTTCTGCTCACCATGCACGTTGAAGTTTACGACCCGTCTATTCAGACTCATCTGTTACAGGACAGAAATTGGGTTCATGAGGTCACAGTTACCTTGAACTTTGACCACCGATTTCTTATCAGTTCATCTATGAGTCCAAGAGAACACGTATCTCTGATATAATCATGTTCCTCCCTCCCTAGATATTCCTGATATATCACGTTCGAAAGAATAGGATGGATGTGAAGTCACAAAGACTTTGATCTTTGGTCACCAAAATCTAATTGAGTCCAAGCAAACCTTTGTACCAAATGAGCAGAAATTTCCCAGCAGCAACAAAGAGCTGCTGCCAGAGCTGAGGCATTAAAAAAAACAACATGGTGAGATACGTCTATTTTGTTGGATCATATTTAAATCATTACAGTATCTGCTGGAACTTATTTGTAAAGGAAGTAAATGAGACCATACCAAGACTGATTCTGCCTTCTTTCTCCAGCTTCTTTAAGTGATGAACCAGGTTCACATTAGCTGCTTGGTGCAGGTGTTCAGGTGTGTCCTGAGAGAAAAGCAACACAAGTTTCAGGGTCATTTTTTTTGTGTTCCAGCCTCAAAACAGACCAGTCTGTATGGGATCAGGTCAAGGTCAATTGTATAGCACATTCTAAACCACCAGAGCTGAGAAAAGTGCTTCACAGGCAGCCATTAATAAAACAGAAACATTTCAAGAAACCGTTTAATTCTGCATTTAATTCCGAGTTATTATTAATCTCTCTCTTTTTAAGTCTATATCTTGCAATATTGACGATCATCTGATTAGCAGACACAAATGCTCTGCAATGAGTGTGAACATCGACAAGATCAGACAAGTACAGCAATGCCAGCCCATTTAAAATGTAATCAGAAGGGATTAGATTGCTTCCATGGTCAAAGATGGTAGAATTACTGGTAAAAGTCTACCCAGTCTACCTTTGACAACAAGCTGGAAACAGCATCAAAGGAAAAGAAGGTTTTTCCTGACCTTGTACACAATCTTGACAAGCTCCATGGAACTGAAAGGCTTTCCTGCTCCATCCTGAATGGCTGCCAGGATCTGTTGTTCTCTTTGGTCCCGGTGACTGATGTAGTGTCTGATCTTAGAGCCAGCATCCTGAACCACAGGTCCGTGGCCTGCACAGAGAACAGCAGCAGCAAGCTTTTTCTCCAGTCATCGGAAAGACTTTGTTAAATGAATGCACGTCAGAGAGGCAGAACTCAAAGAAGCACAGCCGGTAGCTCTGAAACAAGTAAAGTCGATCAACGGACAATTTATTGGCAGCTATTTTGAAAATAAGGTAAATATTCACTGGTTTAAAAAAATAAAAAAATAATTATTTGAGGCGTTTCTGTGAGTGAATAGGTGCAGATCTTAGAAGTGGAAGTCATAGAGTAACTCATAACAATGTCATGAAACACTCCTCGCAATAAATATGGAAAAACAATTCACCATTATCTAATATAATGGAGACGATGATCTGTGATACAGCATGGTATCTGCAGAATGGTGTATCAAACTAGACTTAACTACATTTTTTTATTAAAATATACATTTCTCACTGGTGTATTGATGATGTACCACAAGATTGTGTGATTGTGTGCAAACAGGTTGAGGGGGGAAAAACATTATACAGAGGGTTTTTTAAGAAATAAAACAGAGGGCCAAGCATCAGCGTATCCTTGCTCACCAGGGTAGATGAGGTCAGCCTCCGAGTCCAGCAGGATTTGCAGAGATTTCATGTAGTCGTAGAGGTCTTCAAACACGGCCGTGCCCTCGCCCAGGATGCAGTCTCCAGAGAAGATAGCCCGCTCCTCCTCCAGCACCAAGGCCATGTGGTCATCAGTATGGCCCGGAGTGAAAAGCACTCTGGGAAAAAGAAATGGCTCTCTGCTCAACTATCTGATTGTAGATTCAGACAAAAGCCATGTCAGTGTGCAGAATGATAATAACCATAACTAAAGGAATATTAGCAAATTTTATTTTTTGTTGGTACTGCAGCATATTTTCATGATATTGGTTTATACATTTACACCCTGAAAAAGTCTTTGAGTTATTGTTCTTCTGTGTATATTATAACAGATGTATTTTTAATGCTCTTTTATAAATTCACAACGTGTAAAAACTGAACTGACTTGAGTGTGGCTCCCTCCGTCTCAACAACATCTCCATCTTTTAGGTAATTGTAGTCTTTGCTTCCTGCTGTCTCTCTTGCTTTGTTGGAGCGAGGCAGTTTGCTGACTCGGACCTCAGAACCTGCAAGATAAAAAAAAACTTAAGAAATGAATACTGACTCACTGAGTCTCTAAGCCGAAAAAGTACTGTCAGTTTTTGATTCACTAAACTAATGACTGATTTTTCATTAGTAGGTGGCTTTTAGCTAGATTTCACGATTACAGTAATGATGAACGGTGAAGTAACCCAACTATACCCACACATTCAGGGGCTCACCAGTTATGTCCCTGCAGATATCTTCTACTCCACCAGTGTGGTCGTGATGCCAGTGTGTGACGATGATCTCCTGGATGCTGGTGCTGAACTGCTTCAGTGCCTGTTTCAGGCTGCTGATGTATTCAGGCACAGCAGGTTCCCCCGTGTCTATCAGCACCCGTCTGGAATATAATTGCTCATTATATATTCACCCAAAGGGTTTTAAAGGTAACTATGCATATTCATATATTCCAACTCTACCGATGAGTACTCCATTGTTCTGTCTTATAGCTGGCTATTGTTTTAAAGCTGTTTTATTCACATTGCAAAGAACTAAGCGCTCCTTTTCACTGCAAACGTAGTCTACTATTTTTGTTAAATATTACTCCAAACGATTATTATTTACCATATTGAGTATATGCCGAAGAAACAAAAAGACCCTGGCAATTAATTGCACACTTTCAGCTTTATTCCATCTGTCACCTTTATTATCCAGAAGCGCGAAAATGCACAAGTTAAAAGATTTTAAATGGAATTTGGCATTAGCGCCCATTTCTACAAGCTAAGAAATTGCACGGAAAAGGAGTGTCAAGCTTTTGGCCAGCTAGTCCCTTTCAAATACACATGAGCTAAACAGACAACACATTTACTCATGTTTCCTTTTGGGAAAATGATAAACGTCACTACTGGCTGGACTAGACTCACCTTTTGCCCGTGCCGACCAGGTAAGTGTTGGTTCCCTGCAGAGTCATCGGTCCCGGGTTACAGCCCAAAACCCGAACCACTCTAGCAGACAACTGCTCTATGCGAGGAATAATGGCGCTCATAGCTCCAGCTGGCGTGAAGTTATCAACAGTACAAAATAACAAAACATACAGAAGTAAAAGTTCAGGAGAATCTCATACAGGATATAAAACTTGTTTACTTCCTGTACGTACTAAGGAAGATTTCAAAATAAAAGTCTTGAGCTCGCTCATCCGCGTCAGTGTTTTAACACTATCCTCTATCACCCATTTTAAATGTGTCACTTAAAGCTTGCTTTCAGTACTGCTATGCGTTTTATCTTATGTTCTTTTTCACATTATTATTGTCACTTTATTTCATGCTGTACTTTACAGTATATCTTTTCAATTCGAAACTGACTGGGTAAACCTATCGCATCTTTACATCTCCAACCACATCTGACTGACTCACATTTTGACACGTGTACTTTTGATAGGCATGTGTGGATTGTGGGGGAAAAGGTTTCTGTGGTTTTACTGCTCTTTGTTGTCTTTGTTGTTAATGTCTTTGTCACTACACAGCATTTTCGTGTCACTTTCTTAGATATTTTGCAGGTTAAAACAAGGACCTTCTTTTCTTTGGGTCAGTACTGCTTGAGCCCATTCAACAAACAACCCGTGTATATTAGATGTATATCAGTGCCATATATGAACATAACCCAGTTCTATGTAATTCAAATTATTTTATAGGAGAAAAATAATGACAGCTCCAAAAATCCCGGTAAAGACTAAACCGGTCTTTTACAAGCAATAGTACAAACCAAACACTAGATGGGGCCATTGTCCAGTTTGAGTCACCTAATACCCAGGCTGGCACATTGTGAATATATAATTAAAAATCCAAGATTATCAGTGTTTGTCAGACTGAGTATTATTAAGGATAATCACGCTTTGTAACTTTATTAATTTTAACCTCAAATATGACAAATATCTGGTCGAATGGCTAATGTTGCTGTCATTAATCCTGAAAGTTGAACCATGGGCAGTTTCAGGTCAGTCAAAATCATTAAAAACTGTTTGAAACAGGGTAGTTAATTAAGTTTCATATATATATATTTGGGAATACATTAAGAAAGCAATTGTTTTAAGGGAATTTTGCAAATTTAAATTTATTTAAACTGCAGCACTAATGCTATGTTTAAATAAAATAAATACTCTGATTTTTAGTCTAGTGGGTTCACGGGTACACAGAGAACTAGCTTTCTCTGAGAAGCTCATTGGTTTATTGGCTCATTTGCTTCGTTTGCTCATTCATTAAAAGTGTGTTCATGTTTGGTAGTTTGTCTATGTAGCAATTTGTGTGCATTAGTCAGTAGAAACCACACATATATCGTTTACATTAACACAACAAGCTTGAAATGACAAGCTAGTGTATTGTAGAGGAATTATGTCCATTGGATGAGCAGAAGAGTGCTGCTTTAAAAAACAAACAAACATTTGCATGCTGGTAGTATTTGACCACTTCAGGCTTTTATCAGAAACCTTTGAGGACTTTGCTTTGATTCTCCATTGTCTCTTCTTGGAGACAGTAGAGGTGTTCCAGGAATGTCCTACATCAAGCCCCTACGCTTTGCTCTTTTAAGCCCAACAAATAAGAAAACTTGCTTACAGGTACTATAAGACATGATCCTGGAGGCAATTTGGGAATGAAATTCATTATATTTTGTTTGAATAAATGTGATTTGACGCTTAGAATTAAGTTAGGCGCTATTCCCACTCTGTACCCATCAATGCCAAAATGCCTGACAATGTAATTAAAAGAGTTATTTTGTTCTGCTTTTCATTTCCTTTTCTCATTTAATCAGCTGTCCCACTGCCTCGTAGATTTCACCACAATGACGCCCAATCAAAGCAAATGTTCTGAAATCTATGTAACTGTACATCAGCTAGATAGTACAACGGATAACGGTGCTACACAGTATTAGAAGTTAGCCTTACAGAAAGTACTCATTTGCAGAATATTGCTGTTAATTTTGGTGGATGTCTGAATAAGTGTCCTTTGCTAAGTTTTCTCTTTCGATGATAGTTTAATCTTCAAGATGAGATTAAACGTGCATCTCTCTTTTACAGCCGGGCTGGTGGATTTCATATGAATAGTTTACAGAGTCAACAGTATGTTTGAAGAGTTAGTGCAAAAACATCGCAGAGATAAGTGCGTATGCTTAAAGATGCTACCAAAATCACACATGACACATACTTGGAATCAGTTTTTTTATCATTTTAGATTCTTAATTAAAGCAGATTTCAAGAGCTTTATCTTTTCATACACTCAGATTAAACATGGTGAGCTATGCATGCTGACAGCCTCTGCTTTGTTTCCTATAATGAGCAGGGGATCTCTTACAGACTAAGATGGAATCAAAAAGTTGTGAGATACGCAGTGCAAGTGGGCGTGATGACAAGCAACTTTCTAAACAGTGGACTGTAATTGGTAAGGACTAGAAAGTACACAGTTTAGCGCTAAATGTCAGTTGTAACTCCATAGCTTGTTGGCTTAAGTAGTGAACAGTTTGTAACAATATGTCCACATTCATCATAAGAACAGAGGGGAATCATTTAAAGACTCAAGACTGTGTGTCAGATGGGGACCTACTTTCTAATTTTTTTGTTTTGTTTATTTTTTTTAGACATCACATGAAGTTCTTGAGGGACATTCAGGACAATAGTGAAGTAAAAAATAAATCAGCAAGTTAAAATTTCACTCAGGTTTCATGCCCCTGGACTAAATCATTCACGTTTAATGATTGACTGATTATTGGGCATCGCTACAAACTTGTGTTGAACTCATGATGTTCAAAAAGACAAGGAAAGGTAGAAGGCACAGATACTCCCCTTCTTACTCATAAAGGACTAAATGTTCTTTTTCTGAATGTCTTTTAACCCTATAATCTTTAAAGTGCCACATACATAAACTGAAATAAAGTTTCCTTTGGTGAGAGTGGGTGGAAAATTCATTAATCTGTTAAAGTTTTATTGTTTGGGTTTCAGGTCTTTACTGTGTGTTAAATTCAGCTTAACCGTCAGTGGATTTTTATGGAGGGATATTTTATTTGTGTCTTCTGTAATTTCCTTTTTAACTGACCAACACATTCTTGGCTATTACTATTCTCTTAATACAGGAAATAAACTCTACACCTCTTCTGTAACCTCCCTCCCACATCACTTTATAAAGGGAAATACAACACATGATTATTTCCAAGGGGCTTTCCATTATGTCGAGGTCATTAAGTATTTTCCTGAGTGCATGACCAGGATTCCTACATGCATTACAACATCAGATCGATGCAGTCAAACGAAGCCAAAAGCAGATCGAGATGCAGCGATAAATCGCCTGATGGACGACTCACACATCCCCCTTAACACCTTGTCTGATATTTGTCTCCCATAAATCATGACCCATAAAATCAGGCATAAAAGAGGGAAGGATTCAGCTCTCTATAATATTTACAGGTGGAATAAGTGGAGGGGAAAGCAGCGAGACATTATTTCCCTAAATGAAATAGACCCTGGCAACTGGGGAATCCAACGGCCCCACCCTCCCCTCTCTCTCTCTCTTTGTAATTACACAACATAATGGTGGTGCAGTCGGCCCGTAATCTCCCATTATAATCAGTCTCGGCTGCCTCCACTCGCTCTCCACCATGGTTTCTAATTCAATATAAATGTAAATGACTGGGGGAGAGAAAGAGGGTGGGAGAGGAGCTCAGGAACAGTATAGAGTGTAAATGTGGGAGTCTGATCTCACGACAAATCCGCACTCATCTTTACGAGGAGCTGTGTTCATACTTGTAATAATTTATACAAACTGGGTATTGAGTGAGAGGCCCGCAGACTGCTCCTGTGGTCTAAAGCAGACAGTGGGTTGTCATGGCATCTTAATTTGAAAGCTTAATGAGTAAAACTTCAGTGAACTGACACATTAAAGATCCAGATCCTATCATGGAGACGATTTTGGTTTTAAATGTCCATTTTTATGGACTGGTGGTTTTTGACTGGAAGTTTTTTTTGTTCTGTTTCATCTTCAGAGGCTCAAAATTAACTGGTCAAACTAGCATCATGTTAAATATAAGGGTTACTTTTGCAGTACGCTTTGTGTCAGTACCCATTCGCACTGTGAAGTCTAATCAGTTTTGCAGCATTTGGCTGAATCTGAGCAGAGAAAATAACCCTGTGCACTCCAGAGTTCATCCTACTGCTTCTATCAGCAGTGACATCATTGACCCATGGGCTGATTCCACATCCATGTCACATTACCTCCGTGTTGTCCGACAGATAATGTTTTATAATTTTTCTTTATCATAGTTTTCTCTTCCTTATATTCTGGTGCAAGTTGATCTTGGCTTTATTTGTCCAAATAATGTTTGTTGTTGTCTGTAACTGTAGGTGGTTTGCACCTTGTTGTAGACCCTCTTTACCTCCACTGGTGAAGGTGTCTCTTGACAATGACACACCTACCTCTTTGAGAGTGTTCTTGGCTTTGTTGGATGTTGTGAAGCTGTTTTTCTTAACCACTTAAATGAATCTTTCATCGTGCACTTTTCTTATCTTCTGTGGTCTTTCATGCCTTTGCGTACAGCAGATTACTGATTTGGTCACTCCTAAAGTCTCTCCTACCTCTCTAGTAGGATTAATTTCATTTCATTTCAGCCTAATGATGGTTTACCTCATTTGCACTGACATCTCTTCGGACCTCATATTCAGCTCTTTTGAATTAACTTCAGATATTATATCTGTTTCATTTGTCATGAAATAACAAGGGAACAGGCCTCACCTGGCCATGATACTGTCAGTCAGTTGTCCAATTAATTTTGAGCCTCTGAAAATGGGAGACTATGAATAAAAATGGATGTAAATGCTAAACAGTTGAGCCGTTGTTTTGTAAAATCCCTTGAATTAAAGCTGAAAGTCTGCACTTTAGTCACATACTGTTTGATTTAGAATCCACTGTTGTAATGTGCAAAGGCAAAAGTAGAAAAACTGTCTTTTAAAGACTAAGATCAGAGGGGAAATTGCCATTATTCTCACAGCCCTGTGCAATTACAAAAACAACATCTGTTTACTCTTACATTATTACAACATTATAATAACTGCCATTTCCCACAGGCTTATTATGTGTTACTACTGAGAAAAGAAAATGACTTGAGGA